CCATGGCGGCCGCGTCAAGCTGCTGTGGCCGCGTCGTCGTGCCGCGGCGCCGCCGTCGACGTCCATGGCGCCCGCGTCCAGCTGCTGTGGCCGCGCCGTCGTGCCGCAGCTCCGCCGTCGCGTCAAGATGCTGTCGCGACGTGACGGCGCCGTCACGCTGCCGCGGCGTCTACGCGACAGCGCGCGGTCGGCGTAACGGCGACGTCGTGCTGCCGTCGCAACGTCGACGCCCCGCTGCGGCATCGACGCTGCTCCATGATGGCGTCGTCGGGCTGCAGCCGGCCGCGTGACGCTTGTGGCGCCGCTAGACCGGCCGCCCACATGTCAGCCTGTGGCGCCCCCCCCCCCCCCCACCCCCCTCCTTCCCCTGTGCCCTCTTCCATTCCGCAGACGACGGCTGACTCCCGCCGGCCGTCCCACCGTCGCGGGGCCTGGCCACGTCACCGAGAGGTGCGGGTGCCGCCGCCGCTGCCGCTGTTGTCGAAGCCGCCGCCGCCGCCGCTGTCGCCGCTTGCGTCGGGGCCACGCAGCCGCACGCCGCCGCCGCCGCCGCTGTCGACACTGCCGCCGCTGCTGCCGTCGCCGCCGCAGCCCTTGCGGTCGACGTCGCCGCCTCACGCACCGTGGGTCGACCGACCTAGAGTCGCTGTCACTGTGGCTGGAATGGGGGTGCTAGGTTAGGGGGTGTGGGTGTGTGTGGGCATGTGACTACCAAGCCTAGGGGGTGTGTTCAAATTATATAAGTTATAATTTAATATAGGCTTGGTAGGTTGTTACTGAACCTTTCTGTAGGGGGTACAAACCCCTCCTTGTACTCCCCTCTCTTCTAATCCAACTCTCTTTTCTCTCCTCAACTTTCCTAGCACCTAAAACCTCTCGCCATTCTCATGGCTCCTCCTAGCTCCTAGCTAAACCTTGTGCCATTCTATGGCTTCCTAGCTAAGCTAGTCTTTTGACAGCGTAGTACACTTGGCCTCCGGTGCCAACACAGCTGATATCTTTACGAAGGCGCTTGCGCCTAAAGATCATCAGCGGCACTGTGTACAGCTTGGTCTGGCTGGTTCCTGTAGTCCCTCACTTACTCGGGCCTTGACTTTGTACTGTCCTATATATATATGTGTGTACACTCAGACTGGACTTGTGTCCTCTCACAGTGGTTGGCAGGCCTCAGGATATCAGGGTAAAATACCCTTACGGCCCTTACTATAAGGCTGGGGTTGGTGTTGGACCCTTATTTTTAAAAGTGCTTTAGTTTTGGACCCTTATGAAAAAAACTACGTTTGTACGGGACCCTGATTTTCAAAAGTGGTGTATCGTTCGCACCCTTATGCGAAAAAGTGCCTTTACAAAATACCCTGATGTGATTCTACATGTAGCCCCCCCGTTTGGGGGCAAGAATATTCCCCCGAGTCATGCCGCAATCAGCGCCATTATTGCTCTATGCTGGCGCGCGTCGACGAGACTGCTCCAGCGAGTCAAAGTGTGTGGCCTTCTAGGAAAAGACAAACCAATCAGCGTCAGGGGTCGGAGCGCGCATGGACAGCGCGGCAGCAATGGTCCTGCGGTGACCTGTTCTGCAGGCAAATGACATGATTGGTGGAAAGAAGGGGGCACAACTGTCGATCCCCTTCTCCTCTGTTCGGGGCACCAGTTCTTCTTCATTTGTCTCTTCCAAGCTATTCTTGAGAGCACCGAGATACAATCTGCTCTGTGTTTGTATCTCTCACCCGCTTCCTTACCATATTCCTCTCACCTCGACGATAGCCATGGACCCCGACGACGGCGATGAGGAGGAGGATGGTGGGCGGAAACGCCCGCTATCCCCTCCGCGATCAGCCCTTAGTTTCCTCCGTCGCGCACCAATCACAGTCGCTCAGCCGTTCCCACCTCCAACCTCCCCTTGCGTTGGGTCGCCTCCTGTGACCGAACCCATAGCGGATGTCCCTGAGCGTACACCCCCATCTCCCGCTGCTCTACCGGTTTCTGCCTCTGGGGGTTCTCCTGCCCCATCCCCAACTGCTGTGGGCTTGACGTCGTCTTCCGCGAAGCGGAAAGCGAGCAGCCTGCCGCAGAAGTGGCGGCAGCAACATCTACCCTTCGCTCGGTCAACGGACAAAACGCCTGTTGAGGAACCCGACGACGTCGCCGGTGACGATGATGACGAGGATCACGAACCCACCGACGAAGAGGCTTCCAAAGATCCACATGCTGCTTTTGCAAAAGCGCACCGACGTTTTAAGTCTTCTTGGGAGAGTTTGTTCCCTTGGCTTGTCCTCGACCGTGCTGACGATGGTTTCCCTGTATTGCGCTGCAGCACTTGCCTCGAGCACGGAGTTTCAGGTGCGGACACCAAGTACGGCAAGGACGGTTGCGGCGGGCGTGACATGCAGAAGAACAGCATCCAGACTCACCAGCGGTCCAACGCCCACCGCGACGCCTACCGTCTAATGAAGGCTAAGCAGTCGAGGATGTTGCGGCAAACACTCCTAAACGAGTACGAGGGCCTCGACAAAAGCACGCTACATCTCATCACCGCCATGAAGACGGCGGTGTACACGTGCCAATCGGAGGCGCCGATAACATCCTACGTCGGCTTCATCAAGTTCATGGCTTCAGTGCAGACGCCCAACCTCCCTCTGGATCAGAAGGGCGCCTACTTTTCAGAGTGAGAAACTACGAATTCGAATCTTAGTGCATTGTTTTCAAGTACCGAGTGACCATATTATTGGTCCATGAGTTGCAACATCTATGACTACTCTCTTGTTTCATCGTGTGTATGCTTGGCAGATACGGATTCAACGAGTTGGTCGAGGCCGCATCAAAGTACCTACGAGAAGAGCAGCTAAAGAACATCGCAAGCAGCCCCTATCTCGGCATCGCTATTGACGAGAGCACGGACCGTGTCAGAGGGAAGCATCTAATAGTATATGTGACTTATATCAAGGATGGCTATGTGCGTACCGAGTTCCTGACGCTCCTCACCGTGCAAAAATGTGATGCAGCAAGCCTCACTGAAGTTCTGGAGACTTACATGCGATCGGTCGGAATCGACATGGAGAAGATCGTCGGGATAAGTACGGACGGCGCGTCTGTCATGGTAGGCGAGCACAAGGGCGTCGTCGCACGGTTGCGTGTTAAGATTCGGCACCTAGTGTCATGCCACTGCATCGCCCATCGGTGAGTTGACTCCGGTGTTTGGTGTTTGACAGGTTGTCTTTCGGTTGTTGGTTCCCAAATCGCATGCGATGTCACGTTCTACTGTCACACACCTGGTGTGTGTCTATGTGTTCCCTCCCCCCTCCCTACCAGTGAGTCTCTGGCAGCCAAAGACGCGGCAGCAAAGGTTAGAGACTTCTCCGTCATCGACCAGGTCATCAGAACCGTCTCTGAACTGCTGTCAAGGAGCGGGATCTGGCACAGGCGCTTCAAGAAGCTGCAGGAAGAGCTGTGTGACACGAATCTGGAGCTCCAGGGAATATATGACGTCCGCTGGCTTTCACGGGGGAGCGCGGTGAAGCGGTTCGCGCAGCTGTTGCCGGCTGTAGTCGTGCTTCTGCACGAGTATCAGCACGAGCTATACGGACTTGTGAAGAGTTTCAAGTTTCACTTCCTTGTGTACTTCCTGGCAGATTTGCTCGAGGTCCTCAACGACCTCAACGCGAAGTTTCAGAAGAAGCAGGTGAGGTTTCTGACGGCAGTGACGTTGTGTTTGTTTAACTGCAGGCCCTAATTTTTGTTATTTCTCTGCTTTATGCACGACCTCAGGTGGACATTACACTGGTCGCTGGCGAGGTCAACCTGGTGTGCAGAAAGATTGACGTTCGCTACATCGACTGCGAAAACGCTTTCGGCAGGGACTCACCGCTTCTGAAGAATTTTTTGAAGGAGCATGCCAACCCCCAGTTTCGAGAGGTGACAGTCGAAGGTGTCGACAAGGAAGACGCTCCGACTGTGCATACCTTCACGCTAAGCGAGGAGCCGTGGGAAGGTCAGAAAGGCAAGGGGGACTACCCGACCTGCGTGAAGCTGTGCAGGGAGTATGCGGCGGAGGCAAAGGCACGACTGGAGCACAGGCTGGACGACCTGCAGGATCTAAACGGCGCGAAGTTGTTTCGGCCGCTCGTTTACCCCGAGGATTGGGCATCGTTGATGAAAAAGGCCAGGGAGTGGTTGGCTCTGCTAGATAAGCTCTTCCATTTTAAGCTTTACGGTAAGTGTCTTACACTTCAAAACCTTAATGCCATTGTAAACCTCCTTCGCTGTCACATTGTTGCTGCCTTGCACGCCCTAAACTTTAAAACCTTATTGCCATTGCGTCCTCCCTCCCCTCCTCCCCCCCTTCCACCCATATACTGTATCCTACCCATTTCCCCCATATGAGTTCCCAGGGGTCAACTTCAAGACCTGCGTGTCAGAGCTGCATCTCTTCCTCCACACGATGAACACCAACCACGCGAATCTCGGCTTTCACAAGTCCATGAAGCTCATGCTGGACAGCACGGATTACGAGGGAGCATACCCCAACATCGTGCGGCTGTGGCAGGCGGTCGCCGTGCTGCCCCTCAGCACGGTTGAGTGCGAGAGGGGCTTCAGCCGCCAGAATCGCATCAAGTCGTGGACGCGCAGCTGCTTGGGCGATGGGAAGCTCGAGGACCTTATGACAGTGGCCCTCGTGCAGTGCGACATGGAGTGGCTGAAGATGGTTGACATTTTCCGAACAATCAAGGACCGCCGCCCTGCTACCCAGTTTGACATGGCCGCCGACTAAAAGCACCGGCAGCAGAGGGTCTCCTCTCCAGCAGCAGCAACAGCAATTGCAGCAGTAGCAGCAGTAGTAGTGGCATCACCAGCATCAGCATCACCAGCAGTAGTAGCAGTAGCCGCAGTAGTAGTATTTGGTATGGTGCAGGATTAGTGCGCTATGCTTTGCAATGTCAACATCTATAATACTAAGCAAATTTATCCAGTTACGAATGAGTATGGCGTTTGTACACCCTGATGTGGAAAAGCAGTTTTTTTTAGCACCCTTATAAAACAAAGTCGAAAAAAAAAACACCCTTACAGAAAAAGTGGTCGAGGATTCATACCCTTACATGAAAAACTACTCCAAATCCTATCCAGAGGCCTGGTGGTTGGACTAGTAGTACCGCCCTGTACTTGTTCTTGTCTTGTCTGTACTCCTTCTGACTGGTCTTTTAGACCCTTGTCTCAGAGGCTGGACTAGTAGTGCCGCCCTGAGCTGCTTGTCTATGACATTCCCCTATGCAGTCCAGGGGGTGTGTCAAACATGTTTATTGATCATGTTTGTATAGATTGTATAGGGTAACCTCCTAGAGGGCACAACATTTAGGTATATGTGCATGTACTCTCTAACACTATCATCAATTCACTTTCTAGTTTTGAGAGTTGTCTCTAGGGTTAGGGGACTTGGCCAAATTTTTTTATTGGTTGTGGGGTTCGTGGAGCATGTCTCTAGCGATTGGGTACTTCACCAAATTTTCCGAAGGTTGGTACTATACAGGTAATGAGTCAGGGTCTGAATGTTGAGTGACCCGCTGGGGTTGCCCTTGAGAACGTTGGGGAAGAGCCACAGGTGCAGAGCCTGGGGGGCTATGGGCGCACTTACCCGCTATTCAACAAGCCCTTTTAATCCAGTGGTTAGTGACTGGGTTTCTGACACTGTACGCGCTGTGCTCTGAAAACTCAGTACTGGGTTAGCGACAACTCTGATTTTCTCAGGATCCCTAGAAACGTACTCTGAAGGGATCAGGATTGGGAAAATGCCTTATCTGGAAATTAAGGTTTGGCCAAAAAACAGGTCTGAGATTTCAGACTAATCAGAGTAAATAGTCTGATAAAGTCAGCCCTAGTGCAGGGAAGAGGGGAAGAGGGAATAACAGCACGAGGGGAGCGCGAATAGTGATGTACGAACAGTATGGGAAACTTCCGACATCGCTATGATCATAACAAACCCGTAGGTTGGTCTATACAAGTCCACCAATAGGTGGAGGCCTAGGGCTACAATCTAGAACCTTAGCGAGACTCAAGTCGCTAGTTTATTTAGGCCAGGAAGCCCAGCTTCTCGCCATTCTTCTTCGCCAGCCTGATCAGACCCTGACGCTGTTGAGCAGGTGCTCCGACGGACTTGCAGAACTCAGTAATTACCTGGAACATTGAATGATAGAAACGTTAGGAAACCGAGAAATAATCTCATCCTTCTTGTGGTACGAACCAGAGCGCGTATACTTACTTGCGAGTGGAGGGCGATGCCTTTTCCTCGGAGTTGGTTGAACTGCTTTTGGCCGATGACGTTCTTAGCGACTACCACTATCGGAGCAAAAACTCCCTTACCCTCATGAGGGTTCTTCATCGTAATCACTCCTCTCGAGGGAGCGGCAAGCGTTACTCTGTTCACAGAGCTAAGGAGCTCACTCTTCCCATGGCCTGCTAGCTCCTGGCTGGGCGCGGAGACGGCCTGGATGGTTGGAAGAGAGACCGTGACAAGAGCCATTCCAAAAATCTGTCGAGACGTCTGATTCGGGACGAAGTTGGCAATCAGGCGATTCGCGGAGCAAGTTGATTCAACAATGGCTGATCTGCGTCAATCTGCTGATCGGAGAATAAATTGCTGAGTCGTAGAATATGATTGCTTGCTGTGAAACTATTTAACTGGTTGAAGATACCAATGAATGAAGCTCCTCAAATTCTATGGAGAATCAAAGCATGGTCCAGAATGCAGGCGATGTTGGCCAGGAAAGCGGTTGGGAGGACTCATCAAAAACCACGCTGGGACGAACGCTGAACGTTCATGACTTTCGGCTGGCCACGTGGCGTACACTTTGTGGTCGGACGCCAATTTTGGGGTTCGTGGCCCGTTTTCCCACCATCTGTGCACATTCTGAATCTTTCCGCAGGTTCGTCTCCTCCCCGCGCCAGCATTCTGGGAAAAGATCCAGCACCGTCCACTCAGCCAGCATTTCTCCCATTCAAACACAGCCCGGTTCGTCTTTGAACATGGATTCACTTGTAGTACACGTGGCACGCTCACCGTCCAACATACTGGCCAGGTGTCACGTGGGCTGGTGTCCCAGGCCTGGGCCGACGTCACCACCACCACTGACATCGCGCCGACGCGGAGAAGCTCCATCCCTTCATTGTTCGAAGGTTCGACGACAGCGAAATGACCCTCCTCTTCCACCCTGTCACACCCTCCGGCAACCGTACGTACGTACGTGCAGTCTTGGTACGGTATTCCGTCAGCATTTGCTTTGATGGCTACTGTCTCCTCCCTCCCCTCTCACTAGCAATTGGCGAGTCAAAATATTTCCTTAGTCGCGGGGAACATGTTCTGCTAGCCAGCGCGCGTCACACTCACAGACTCGAGCGTGGCTATCAGGACAGGCGTGCTTCATGTGTTGAGGAAGCAAAGCACTCGAATGAGGAAAAGTGTGAATGGTTAGCCAGAATAATCATTAATCAGTTTCACATCAGAGTTAGGAATCAGCTCCATGAGCGCTTTGCGTCAAGGCAGGGGTCTTGAAAAGCTTTATGGGGTCGCCGACGCGGAAAAAAACAACTTTCACTGCCGCAGAACAGCGGTAGTGTGCGTACGCGGTAGTGTGCGTGCGCCGAAGATAGTCAGCAGTCCCTCTGTTTATAGTCACAGAAGTGGTAGCTTGAAACGGAGAGCAGGCGGAAGTTTTGGAGTTGTAAGACTAGGAAATGGCAATCTCCAAGAACGCGGCAACGAGCGGTTTCATGTCACACCTCGTGTGACACAAGCGGGCTCAGCTTCCTGGAACGCGTTTCAACATCAAGGGAACAGTAACGCCAGCCAATTAGGGGATGCCTCAGCGACCGACGCGCCGTCGTGTCTGTTCCTGGGCCCGTTAGAGAGCGCCACGAGAGAGCAGCTCGAACAGTTTTATGCACAGGTATGAGCGCTTGTGCAGTCGCTGTTCTCTAGGTGCATAGTTTTTCCCCGTTTCTCGAAGGGGGGTGAGCACATGATAACTACACTAGGTGCCTTTTGTTTAGAGACTGGTAACACATCTCAGAGAGGTCACGCCGCTGGCATTACCCCTGTAATTCCCCAGCTCATTCCCCAACTCCGTTGCTTCTTTCGTCTACCTGCTCAGGCTCGGGATGCGTACTACAGCGGGAAGCCCTTGGTATCAGATGACATCTTCGATCTGGTGGAGGTACGCTCACGCCGTTTCATCTCTTGCAACCCCCCTCGCGTTGCCCCCGCGTTGCCGGAGCCATGCTCCTAGTCCGTGGAGAACAAAGCTTAACACGAACCCGCTCGAATGTGTCATGTGTGCAGCGTCGGTTGCGGTGGTTCCACTCAGAACTGGTCAAGAAGTACCCGCGTTGCAGCATACGAGCTCTCTACTGCTACTCAGACGCCGAGGTACGGCGCGTATGGCTCAGTTCCAGATCGAGACTCAGCGCAATGTTGTTCCTCCTGGCTTTTGAAATTCGGGCTCTTTTTTCCGCTTTCTTACGGCCCCGTCCCAGGTGGCAGTGCTCTCAACCCTATAGTCCTTCATTCTTGCAGCGGGACACCGTCCTGCTGAAAAATAATGGCATTACCCTTCTGACCTTCCCCCATTCGCCACTCCCTCTTCAGGCGGACCCCTCCCAGATGGCAGCGCTGTCAACCATGTGGTCCCTTATCCTAGCAGCGGGGGCAGCGCTGACAGCAATGCCGCTGGTGTTTCTGGTGATGGTGATGGGCGCGAGTGGCGTGGAGCGGGTGGAGAATCCCATCCTCTCCAGTCCGCTGTGGCAGCTTGACGGCGCCATGGCTGCTGGCATCTGCTTCCTGCTGGGGGTGGTTCTCGCCTCTGCTGCAGGTGGGTCATGCGTATCCTCTTCCTTTACAGCTCCTCTGTTAAAGGGAAAGGCGTCAAGTTGTTGACTCCGGCTTTATGCACATTAACGCCTGCAAGGTCCAGAGTGCAATTTCGCGGAGCTTCGTTTTCGCCTTACTCGTAATTGTTTGCCATGAGGCTGAGTTTGCCTCGTCCTGAATAGGCGATCAGGGATCTCACCTTGTCTCGCCCTGCTTATCCATCCCACAGCACGCCCACTGCAGCGCATAATGCAGGGCAAGATGGTGGCGCTACAGGGCAACTGTCCGCACTGTGGAGAGGAGGTTTACTCGTTCATCACATTGGAAGAGGGAGCCAGACACCGGCACAAGGCTGAGTGCCACGTGTGCGGCCAGCCTCTGGTCTTTCATGCGTTCGTTGAGGTACCTACCCTGTGCACTCCTGTTATGTTGTTCCGTTGGTGGGGGGTAAGAGTTATTCCGTGCGGTAGTTCCAGTTTTCTTTTCTCACACGTGCATTCTGTATACCGGTAATGTTTCCCCCGATGCAGGCATCTCCAAGTAACCCCAAGCACTCATGGGCGTATGGTAGAATATATGTTGTGGCAAGAGCCAAGGATTTGGAGCCTCCTGCAGAAACACACCCCTAGTTTCAGGCACCCTTAGTCGCTGGCATTCTTGAAATGTTGTGTAAATGTGTTTTGTGGTGGTGTATAGTCAGTCAGAAGCCAGCAATGGCATTTTGGAAACAATGTACATCCGTACGACCCTGGTAGGTCTAGCATCATTGTGGATAGCATTGAAAGAAAAAAGAATCTATGCTAGGAGCTAGTAATTGAGAGAAATAGGCATGCATCGTTTGCATGTACAAGAAATTCCTCCACAGAACGAGGGGACCCGAGCAAGACAATTTTCGCCAGTGTGCGCCCTGTATCGCAGTCTTCTTCGCGAATCTGGTTCGTGGAAAATTTTGGCGGGAAGGGATGGAGAAACAAAGCCGTGCAGTGCGATGCCACTGACACCAGCTCTAGCGTTTCGCTGCTGAAGAAAACGTCGACCCATCCTCCTCATGGCTCCTCCTGACCTGACTGTTCCTACGGTCTGACTGATTGACTGACGGGTCTACCGAATCTTGTAGCTTTCTGGCAGTACAGCTATTAATATCTACCTTATTAGGAGAGCCTGTCAACGCGAACAGTCCGAAGTCACTTCTCAACTTCAGCTTTCACGATGCCAGTCGGATCTCCTATCCAACGGCTACCTGACGACCTGCTTTCTCGGGTCCTGCATTTTCTTGTTCGACCCGATGGCCAGCTGCAGCACTCGCTCGTCTGCAAGCAATGGCATCGCATCGCGTATCGAGTGCAGGACAAGATCTACTTGCGCAGCGACCTCCGTATGGATCCGCTTCGCCTCCTTCAGCTTATATCGTCGTTCGGAAAGGTCAAAGAGCTCGTCCTTCCCTCTGGCAGCCTCATCTCCCTCTCTGATTCCTTCTTCTCTCGCCTCGTCGACATGTGTCCCCACATGACGAAGCTTCATGTTGACTCGATGACACGTGGATCCGCTCGCGGAGGTGTAACTGAGACGAGCCTTCTTTCCTTGGTGGAGAGGTGCACTCGGCTGGAGGATCTTTATCTGCATTTAACCGAGCGTGCTGCCATTCCTCCCTCCATTAACCGCCTCCATTCTCTCAAGAAACTGCACCTCTGGGCAAGCATCACGCGTCTTCCCGACACCTTGACCTCGCTACGGTCCCTAAGAAGCCTCGTGCTGAACACGTTCAGGCTCCAGGCTTTGCCTCCAGATTTCGGCGATCTGGTTTACCTAGAGTCGCTGCAGCTGCACTGTCACTCTCTGACATTACTGCCAGAATCCGTCGGACAGCTTGCCAGCCTGAACCGTCTATCCATCAGTTCGTGCGCAACGTTGCAGCTGCCTCGCTCCCTTACCGACCTTTCTTCTCTCGTCGTCCTGGAGGTTCGACGGTCCAGAATCCTTCTCCCACCGCTCGTCAATCTCGGTCATCTGCAGGCGCTTGAAACCCTGCATTTGGATGAGACATCGGGAATGCAACAGCTGCTAGACGCTCTCGAGCACCTGCAGCAGCTGAAGGCAATCACCATCAGGGGCTGCAGAGACATCACGGCTCTGCCCGAATCCCTTCCGCGTCTGCCTTATCTCACCAGCCTCAACCTCGACATGCAAGAACTTCCAGAGCTGCCCGAAGATTTTGGGCAGTTATCAGAGCTTCGGGCTCTCACGCTGAAGTTCTTGAGTTTCTCAAGCCTTCCTGACTCCATCGCTCTGGTCACTAAGCTCCAGGAGCTTTTGCTCGATCATCTCCCGAACCTGACATCTCTGCCCGAGGAGTTTGGGCAGCTGATTGCTCTGGAAACGCTGTGCCTGAGAAGCCTTCCAGAGCTCACACACCTGCCCGAATCCTTCGGGCAATTGACAGTTCTCAGGGAGCTGACAATGATTGAGTGCAGGCAGCTGCAGCAACTCCCGGACTCCCTATCCCAGCTGTCAGCTCTCGAGCACCTGGAGGTTGACATTTGTCCGAGGCTCACTGCGCTGCCAGACGGCATGGGGAACGGCCTGCAGAGTCTGCGCCATCTGCATCTGCTGCACTGCACGGCTCTCACTCACCTCCCTCCAACCTTCTCCGGTCTGACGTCCCTCGAGACCCTTAAGATTCTGCAAGCACGGCGCTTCAGAGGCGCCCTGCTAGACGGATTCGGCAGCTTGAAGAGCCTCAAGGACTTGTCTCTCCGTGACATGCCGCGTCTGGCTGCCCTTCCTGCCTCCTTCTATGGCGTTTTCGCACTCACCAGCTTGGAGCTGGTAAACTGCCCGAGAATAACGGACCTGCCTGAGGGGATCGGACTGCTGCAGGCGCTCGAGGAGGTCAGGATCTCACGGATGGACGGCCTGAAACGTCTCCCTCCGTCGCTGGTTGAGCACTCCCGTCTGCGGGTGCTGGAGGTGCGGGCGTGTGATGGGCTCTGTACATTGCTAGGTGATGAGGTTGTGCGGATCCGTCCTGTCAGGGGATCTTCGGCCGGCACCACCGGCACCACCGGCACCAGCGTCCTGCTCCCATCCGTCCAGAGCATCAAGCTCAAGGCTCTTAATTTTGAGTCTTTTGGTCCGTCGCTTGGCCGTCTGTCCTCCCTAACGCAGCTGAAGCTCATTGACATGTACGACCTCTCATCGCTCCCTGATTCCGTCGCGCAACTGTCGCAACTGCAAAGGCTCCGGCTCTATCGGAATATGAAGATAGAAGCCCTGCCGGAAACCCTTGGAGGACTCTCTGGGCTGCGGGTGTTGCAGTTGCTTGGCCTCATCGCAATGCGTGAGCTGCCCGAGTCTTTCGGGCAGCTGAAGATGCTCGAGACGCTGGAAATTATTGATTGCTTCAAGCTGATGCGCCTTCCAGAGTCCTTCACGAGCCTGTCCAATCTGAAGTCTTGCACTCTCATCAAGCTCGGAATTCCTTCCATTCCTGAAGGCTTCTGGAAGCTTTCTTCGCTCAAGGAACTGGTGCTCCTGGGACTGAAGCGTGTCCGGCGCTTGCCCCAGTCATTCACTCAGCTGCATCAGCTGCAGGTGCTGGATGTGAGCGCCTGCAAGCAGCTGGTTCGGTTGCCGTCTCTCCGGGGAATGCCGATGCTGCGTGATTGCTCGGTCACCGAATGCCCTTTGCTCTCACGGCGAGCCAGGCGGGGGATTCCGGGAAGGGGAGGTGTGGAGGAGGGAGAGGAGGGAGAGGGAGCTGAAGAGGAGGATGATGAGGAAGAGGAGGGGGAAGAGGGAGGGGAAGAGGGAGTAGAAGAGGGGGGGGATGGGGACGAGAGTGGGGGGGAGGATGATGACATAGAGCACGAGTTTGGCATGGAGAGCCACAGCGACAGGGATGACGAGGGAGGCTGGGGTGGAAATGAGGGCGAAGAGGAAGATTAAGCTGCTGGAACTTGTGAGAAAGAAAAGGGGGGAGGGGAGAAGGGGGGGGGGGGGGGGGGGTGGTGGGAGGGGAAGAACTTGTCTGGGGGGATGTTGGAGTGGACCAATGGGGAAGAGGCATGATTGGAAGGTGATTGGGAGTTCGGGTTCTTCACCTTGTGCAGAATGGGTTGTCGTGTTCATGTAGATGCAACGGTTGATTTGTTTTGCGCTTGTTTTCCAAGACAACTCGCAGAATTGTGTCCGTGTGTGCACGTGTGCTAAAAATATGCCCTTCTGTTTGTACTCATGCAACCCCATTCTGTGCCGCCCTCTTCTTGCTAGGGGCGTTGCCTGTCATACATATATTGTATGTTATAGGCTATATAGGGTTGTGCCTTAGGGAGTACAACCCATTAGGTTATATTCCCTTGTATGTCATTGTTCTAGTCATTCGTTTTCACTTTAATATGGTATCATGAGTAGGCTAGGTCCCCCCCGTCCACCAACGCTTCCGCCATAGGTCCTAGCCGCCTCGTCGCCCGTGCCGGCCCCGTCCCCTAGCGGCCCCGCGGCCCCGTCACCTAGCGGCCCCGCGCCCCCCCCTCCCCTTACCTAGCGGCCCCGCGGCCCCGTCACCTAACGGCCCCGCAGCCCCGCGGCCCCGTCCCCTAGAGGCCCCACGGCCCCGCTGCCACCCGTCACCTAGCGGCCCCGTAGCCCCGTCCCCTAGCGGACCCGCGGCCCCGTCCCCTAGCGGCCCCGCGGCTGCGTCACCTAGTGGCCCTGCGGCCGTGTCACCTATCGGCCCCGCGGCCCCGTCGCCTAGCTGCCCGCGGCCCCGTCGCCTAGCCGTCTCGCCGGCCCCGTTGCCTTGCAGGCCCTGTCGCCCAGCTGGCCCCGTCTCCTAGCCGGCCCCGCCTCCTAGCCAACCGCGCTTCCTAGCCGGCCCCGCCGCCTCGCCGGCCAAGTCGCCCAGTCGGCCCCATCTCCCAGCCGGCCCCGCCTCCTAGCCGACCTTGTCGCCCAGCCGCCCCGTAGCCCAGCCGGCCCCGTCACCTCCACGCCTAGCCGGCCTCGTCGCCTTGCCGCCCGCGGCCCCGTCTCCCAGACGCCTCGCCGACGTCCTCGGTCCCCTACACCGTGTTGCATCGCCCGGCACCGCACTGCACCGCTCTGCACTGCACTAAACCGCTCTGCACCGCACTGCACCACACTGTACCGCATTGCACCGCCCTGCATCGCGCTGTGCAGCGCTGCACCGCACATCACCACTTTCCGCCGCACCCTACTGCTCAGTACCGCCTTTCTGTTGCTGCTGCGGCCCTGATGGCGGACTCGGGTCCTGCGTTTTGATGCGGAGGGGAAGCCGATTGAGTTCGACTCGTGGCTCATCGACCTCCAACGACACCTGACTGGTCAGCGGCAGGACGGCCACTCCCTAGCCGTCCACATCGACGGTACGCTCCCCTGCCCGGACCCCCCTGCTGCTCTACCCGCTAACCCCACGTCTGCTGACCGTGAGTCCGCTGCCGCTGCTGCCCTTGCCCGTATTGTGTGGTTGTTGCGTGACGTTGTCGCACAGCTTGCGATTTGTCATGCCCTCCCCCTGTCCGAGCGCCCCCGCTAGGTCGGTCAGAACTGCGCAGTTAGGGTCCAGTCACACTAGAGCCATCAGCGTACAGTACATGGCATACATAGCAGACCTAATCTGATCCATATCAAGCTCAATGACAGGCAGACGGCGACGCACCAAGGTCTACCAATCGGGGGGGTCCGACATGAAGCCGAAGCGAAGACGGAAGAGGTCGTCGAGGCGGCGGTGGCAGCGCGCGGCGGTGTGACCGGGACGGTAGCAGACGGTGCCGCGGCGGGGCCGGACAGAAGCTGGTACTAGCAGGTGACCACACTGAAGCCGCCACCTGACACCGAGCTGCTGGCCTACCACCACGACCACCACCACCAGCGCCGCCGGGCCACCATGGCGGCGGGGGTCCCCACGGCGGCAGCTGCTGCTGCTGCTCCTGCTGCTGCACCGAGGCATCCGCCCCGGTCCTCTCGTCTGCACCACCGTCCCCTCCATCACTGCCGCCACCTCCGCCACCTCTGCCACCCCTACCACCCCTTCCGCCGCCATGCTCGCCCCGAGCCTGACATCCCCTACCCTGACGAGCCTACGCCGAGGCCGCCGCAGCGGTCTCAACAGCAGGGGTCGTCTCAGGAACAACAGCAGAGACGTCAGAGTAAGTGCACTGAGAGGGAGCATAGCCTTGGAAGATCGGGACCGCCGCAGTACCGCCAGATTGAGCGATAGTGCGTTGACGGGTCTTTATCGTGGACAGGGCGGTGATAAAGGCAGGAAGGGTAAGGTCACCTGCGTGCTGACTAAGGAAGTGGTCGCGGGCAGTGGCAAGGCGGTGAGGAAGGCGCGTGGCAATGAGGTAAAAGGTAGCGCAGAGGGGAGGAGGGAATGCGGTGAGCTGGGCCTAAGTGCTACCAGCGTGGTAACTAGTCTCAAGTGCGCGCAGATGAGTGGCAAGGTCAGCGACAGTGGGGAAGGAGGCAAGATCCGGGAACAGCATGGGGAGGATCAGACAGCTAGCTAAGGCATAGAAGGGAGTGGAATAGCGCGCGATGACTGCATGTAAGTATTCCTTCGCATTCGCTACACAAGTAAAGCGGGGATGCTCAGATTGGGGGAGGGCGTAACTAATAGCAAGCTGCGCTACCGCGTCGCGCGACTCCCAGACAGTGCGGGCAAGCTCAGCAGTGGCAAAGTCCTCACCCTCAGCAGTCGTGGGAGCGCCATGGAGGGCAGCAGGCGCGGCGGGGCAGGAAAGCTGACCGTCGACATAGACGGCCAGGGAATAGCCGTCCTGGCGCTGACCTGTAAGCTGACGGTGGAGGTCGACGAGCCACGCCTCAGTCGATCGCCCGACCCTCCGAGTCTAGGCGGAGCACAGTGTCCACCATCACCATGGCCGCAACAGCTGACAGCGGCAACGCGGCATGACGGCACGGCGACACGACGGCACGGTGATACGGCGATACATCGGTACGGCGGCACGGTGACACGACAGCACAGCAGCGCGACGTCACGGCTGCACCGCGGCACAGCGGGAAAAGGGGCCAGCACTGTCACAGGATGGAATGTCCCGAGGAAAGGTTTGCTCAATGTTGCACTATCATTCAGTACAAGGTGCTTTTATACTTCCAGAATACATCAGGTAACCAGGTTTATCCTATCCAAAGGAAATAGACCCTTCTAGAAATAGAATCACCCTGCGTATAGCCACGCGAGGCTATTGGCTTTAAGGGATTACGGCAGGATTACGCTAGATATAGCGCGCCAGTACATCCCGAGCCTGGTCGGTGATATAATTATAATAACAGGATAAACGAAAAGATAATGGAAAATGAGGAATAGGAAACCAAATGAGATGAGATAAAGACCAAATGAATCATGATAAAAAGAGGAATGAAATAGAAAGGAAATATGGAAAGGGGAAATTAGTGTAACGGGGTCGTACTCTCACACTTCCCCCCCTCAAAGCTGGGTGGTAGAAGTAACACCCTGCTTGACAAGGTAGTCGCGAAGAGGACGACGGGCGTTACCCATGTCGAGTTCAGAGACGTAGCGTCAGAAGGATCAAAATCCTTCCAGCAAAGAAGAAGCTCCAGAGTGCCATTCTGACGACGACGATGTCCAAGCACGTAGTTGTCCTATGTCGTGGATGAACACGGCGGCGACGGTGGTTGGCATTCGGTGTAGAGCGTGTTTGGTCTTGATAGGGTTTGAGAAGCTGGTATGGAAGGCGGTATGGATCTTCCAAGTGGCTGGTAGGCGGAAGTGGAAGTTGAATGAAGTGGCCTTCGCTTCAAAGATGATAGACCCGCAAAAGCAAGGTTGAAGCTTGGATGGAAGATGGCTGATGTCGAGATTATGGTGTGCATAACTGAGGTGATAAGCAGCCAGGTGCTTCTGCGGCTGTTGGATGTCCAAGAGGTGCTTGTGTGGTCGATGTACAAGATGGTGGACGATGACGATGAAATCGGAAGCCAGTTGGACTGTGGCTGGTATGGTTAGCTGTTGTGGTGTGATCGGGTGGCGTCCGTAACAGACGAAGTACAGCGTCTGTCCATTAGCGGCGTCAGGAGCATACTTGTAGGCAACCTCCAGGACGGGCAGATGCAAGTCGGAGTTGGAGATGTGAATGGTTGGAACAGTGAGCTGTAACGTGCAGATGAGTGGCTATGTTGTCCGATCCGTGCATGCTGTTACCCGCATCTGGTCCACGTGTGAAGATCACCAAGTGTTGGTGGTATGGCCGTTGTGTCGTAGTACTACTTCTGTAGCAGTGTTGTATCCGTTACATGCAGCTTCTGTCGAATGTTGATCCATGCCGTAGTGTTGTCGTGAGTCGTACCCACTCGGCATCGTAGTGCTGTGGAATGGAGAGCAGAATCACTAGTAGTAACCCTGTCCACCACGCGGTCTGCTACTCACATTGCCTTGAGTACAACAGCGCATGCGAAGTGCTGCTCAGCGTATCCCTTGTGTTCAGAACCATGCGAGGGGTTGGTACCATAAACGCGGAGCTGGTAACTTCCAGAATCGGCGCCAAAGTAGTTTCCCTCGATGGTTGCTCGAGCAAGGAATTTGTGCTGCGTAGATATCCCATAGTGATGAGTTAGGATACTTGGGAATATTAGGGGTATTCCCAAATAATCCTCTCCCATTTCCAGATGAGCATTGCTGACAGCCAATCCAGTATGACCTTATGCACTTCCAGTTTAGCACGGAGGCCATCGGTAGGCATCGGTGTCTGGGCGCACATATTGGGATAGGTCTTCTGGTGCCATCATGTGTTGTCTCATTCTGTTACTCTCCTTGAAGTACCGTTGATGTCGAAGAAGTCTCAGCTACTCAGCATCGATGTTGAAGTCTGCTCCATTTCGGCAAACAGGGGTGTTGTTGGAGATACGCGGAGTCCACTATCCGGAGTGGCGTCGGCGCTCCATTCCACGCCTATCTGCTTCCGTGGAGTTGGTGCTGGTGATGGATTGGTTGCGACGCAGGTTTTATGACTTTGAGGAAAGCCATAGGCCATGAGGACTGTATACCGGTAGAGTACCGTGGTCCTCCTATCCTCATACGAGCAAATATCTTCAGCTCTTGAGGGTGTATGGCATTGCCATGTTGTTTCCTCGCATAGTGGTATCTCCTCCCCACTAGCTGGAAATCATAGTACTGTGCCTGGCCGGGACTTAACGATCCACTGGAATATAATCCAGCATTATCTCCATTGAGCGGAGAATCATCCATCAGGATTTGGTTGTGACTGTTGTGTCGAGTCTTCTGCTGCGGCGGCGGCGGCGGTAGCGACGACGGCGACGGCGGCAGCTGTTGCAGAGAATTCTCTCAACTCGTACCAGTTGAAGGAGAATCCATC